CAGCTAGGTTCATCAACAATTACCCCATCAAGTTCGGTCATAAATCTTGGTGTAATCTTTAAAGACCAGCTACACAGCCACACCAGGTTTGCATTGTACAACTTCAGAAGATCAGGCCCTTCCTAACAGAGCAGTCAAGCAACTCTTTTCCAGGCTCTTGTCATTTCTAGGCTGGACTAACGCAATGCTCTTCTGGCTGGACTTCCATCATGCACAATCAAACCTCTGCAAATGATTCAGAACGCAGCAGCCTGACTGGTTTTCAACACACTCAAAATGGCCCACCATCCTAATTTTAAAAAAAAAGTTTTCTTTCTCCTTCCTTAATTCCTCCCTGTCTACCTTGTACTGAACAATGTCTGCAACTTTGTATTACGAGCACTTCCTGTGTTTATTTGCCTCTTTATGATGATGAATCCCTTGTTGTATTTCTCAATTGTACTGTAAGTCGCTTTGGATAAAAGCATCTGCTAAATTAATAAATGTAAATGTAAGTAAATGTAACTAAATAAATACATGTAAAATATGATTTTAGTAAGAAGTGTAACAGAAAAAAAAACACTAACAGATGCCATTTCATTTAAACATTTTACTGGGTCTTAAACATAAAAAGATAATCAGTATACAATGAAACACAATGATATGTAAATACCTGAGAATATTGAAGTAGATTTTCCCCCAAAAATATTTTCAGTATGTTAACTAACATGTGGTCCAACGCAAAGTATGTCTAGTTAAAATTTACAAAGACAGTACAGAACTGTTAAGACAGTAACATATTGATAGACTAGAGGGGATAATATTTGAGTCTTTGCAAGTAAAGCATTTAGCATTTACCAACATGCATGTTTCTGGTGTGAACGTACGTCGGAGACTGACAGGGGAAGAGAATAAATTGTTGAAAAAAGTTGTTATTTTTGTTTTAATTATTGTTGTTATAGCGCTTTTCACGATACAAATCGTTGCAAAGCAAATTTACAGAAAATTAAGTTTCTACAATATATTTAGTAGTAGCTTATCAGTAGTGACTGTCAGTTAATGTACATATGGCAGAAATGTACGGAAAAATCAATTAAAGACATAGTCAAACAGACAATGAACACTATTAACAGTAATTATTATATGATGCAATCAAACTTATTGCAAAATGCGGTAGTTCAGTATGTTGTTTCGGGGTTGGCATCATCTGAGGTTCTCTGAGGGGTTGGCATCATCTCTTCTCAGGTGTTCTGGATCCAGACTGAACTGATTGTTTAACCCAAACTAAAGAATAATAATGTGCATTTGATCAGATATAAGACTATTTAGGTATGCAGGAGCTAACACATTAAGGGCCTTATAGGTAAGTAATAATATTTTGTAACGGATACGGAACTTAATAGGTAGTCAGTGCAGAGACTGTAAAATTGGGATAATATGATTATATTTTCTTGACTTGGTAAGGACTCTAGCAGCTGCATTTTTGACTACATGTAGCTTGTTTATTGAGGATGCAGGACAACCAGCTAGCAGTGCATTACAATAGTCCAGTCTAGAGATCATGAATGCATGAACTAGCTTTTCTGCTTCAGAAACAGGTAACATGATACCTGTCAACTAGGCACCATTATTAGCTGACTCTTTTACTGTTTCTTCCTGTGTAGCATCTGATGCTACAATTTTTTGGACATATCCAATAGATTGGTCTCTGCCCCTTCATGAATCCTATCAGGATTGGTTAGCTTTCATATGCCAAGGGGTTCATAATAGTCCCACAGTTTACCATCAGGCTCTAAAAACAACATTAGACAAATGGAACAGACAGTTAACTATAGTTCAGTATGTGGATGACAGTTTGATCTGTATTATGGAGGAGAATAAACACATGAGAGACATGGAAGCGTTGATCGACTTGTTGCACATTGATTTGAAACATGCAGACATAAACCTCATGTATGCCATCCTAAATCTCACAGTGTAACTGTTCATGACAGGACAAATGGTTTATGTTAAAATTCTAATGCCAAATTCTGCTAATCCTTGCCTCCCGAGAAGTGTGACAGAAGGACCGACCAAAACAGTAACTTCCATGTCTCCCCTCCATTTTGTTTCCATGTTTTTTCTCTCAGTGTTTTTGTTTCCGTTGTGTGCCCGTATGGATGCCCTGAATTCATCCTCCTCCTGCTGGAGCAGGGGGAAAATTTGCTCGAGGGTCATACCAGACTGTTTCTGGCTATTACCCATCTCACCACCTACCCGGACGACGCACTCTGCGTGTTCTATGACGCCAGCCTCAACACCGCGTGCAGAGCGCCGTCGTCCGAAGATGGCCCTCGAGCGGAATTCGGCGCCTTTGTGGAGTGGACACTGGTGAGAAATGGATCTCCATTCCCCGCCGGTTCCCAGGAGTATATCGCCAGGGCCACTCCCGACCCAGAGCCCAGCCCACCATCTCCCCGATACGCGGAGTGCATGCCCGAGCCCACTGCTGACGGAGAGCCAGACCCCGCCGCGACCGACGAGCCATCGCTAGAGAGAGCGACAGAGCTGAGGATCGCCGCGGAGCCAGAGATTAGCTCCGCCCCCTGCACCGCGGCTGAGGGTGAGCTGATTATGGCGGGGCATAAGTGCCAAAAGGACGAGGAAAGGGTTCTAGCCCGTGAATTCAGCTCAGAGCGCCCTCCAGTGCCCGCTCCTAGAAAGCGCCCTTCTGTGGCCGCTCCTCGAAAAGGCTCTGTCGGGCTCCTTCATCCCCTCGGCTCCACCTCAGTCCTCTGTTGCTCCGGCTCCACTGCGACCTCCCGGATCCACATTTCCGAGTCGGTCGCCAGCGCCATCTGCTCCGCCAAGGACCTCCGGATCCTCCCCGTCGCCCTGGCTCATCGGCTCTCCGTCTCTGCCTCGGGCTCCTCCACCACCTGCTCCGCCGCCATTGGTCAGCCCCCTGGAGTCAGCGATCATTCCTCCTCCATATCTCCTCCCTCCATCGGCTCCACCGTGGGGCGACATCATGGCTGTGGCCTGGGTCCTGCTGGACTCTTCCTGCTCCAGGCCCCGCCTGTCTCCTCCCTGGCTCCTCCCTCCGTCGTCTCCTCCCTGGACTCTGTCTGCTGGCCCCCTCCCGGGTGTCCGTCCTCCTCCTGAGCCTCCTCCCTATTTCCCACCCATTCCCCTCCCCATGTTGTTTCTACGGTGTGAGGACGCACCTACTGGGTGGGGGGAGTAATGTCACGCCCCTGGACTGTTTGTTGTGCTCTGTGACCCAGTTTCTTCCCCATGTGTTCTGCTTCCCAGTTAATTAGTCATTCAGTGCACCTGTGTTTTCCCAGTCACCCAGTGTTTAAAAGCCCCAGTCCTTTCAGTTAGGGTTTGTCGGTCCTCGAATGTCATTCCATGTGTTACTGTATCGCTTACGTTCCCTATGTGATCATTAAAGACTGTGAATTAAAGTTATCTCAGTGTTTCCTCGCTTCTTGCCTCCCGAGAAGTGTGACAGGTGACAGATTAAACCTTGAACGGAGATTATACAGCCTCTTACTCATTTTCTATGGTCTTTGGAAGTTTGGAGAACTAATAGAAAGCTCTTCAATAAAACTTCAAATTGGACTTTTAGACGATCAGTGAGCTTGTTGGTCCCTTCATCAAGCTGTTCCCTCAACACAGGCTATTTTTAAAGATTTTAATAATGTTTTTTGATATTATTTATTTGTATTTGTATTTATAATAGACTATGTTAAATTATTCCACAGATATATTTGAGACCAAATCAAAGTAAAACGTTCTTTAAATGTTAAAGCTGTCCTCTGCTGCCCTCAAGAGGCTGTATATGTAAATATCAATGTTTTATTTAATGAGCATTGAATTATTTTCAGATACTTATAATAACCCTTAGTACTCAGTACTTAGTATAATAACTCTTACCGAACCAGGCGTGGGGGACAGCTGTACCAAAAGTGTTCCTCGCGTCTTCATCTATATGTAGGTTTTTGACATTTACTTTGTTGGTAGACTGATAAAGGCATTAAATTAAAAAAAACTTTGAGACCAAACAGCAACATCTGACATCTTATTATTATAGCGAAAAAAGGAGAAATAATCTTTGACTATTGTAAGAATTCTGTTCTTCAGAGGTGAAAACATTTTTGCCAGTTTTAATCTATGGTCTCTTGTCGTTTCCACAAAAACACTGAATGACCAATAATGTCTACATATTTTTGTTCTCTTATGTTTATTATGAAAATTCATACGTTGCAATATTTTAGTTTCATAACTAATGTACCGTCATAAAAATGCTTGATTGATGATTCTAATGCATTATTGTAATGCTTTCAAATATACATAAGATTTAAGACATAATAAATAATTATATATTATATTATAAATCATCTCATTTTACATCATCTACATTTTTAAAACTGTATTGTGCTTGCTTATGTTTTTGGTCATATGTTTTCTTTGTATATCATTGTTTGATGTATAGGTTATGTTGGAGAGTTTACACCTCACCACTTGAAGTAGCAAAATGGTGGCGCTATGACCTCTAGCAACAGAAGCAAAGTGAACCATGTTTACCAGCCAAACCTTTGTCACTTGGCAGAACTTCTTAACTCTTCTCTGTTCCTCTGTTACTAGGCAGAGCAACTGTCTCATGTAAATTCATAAAAGTTTTGCACCAGTTGATGAGATGAAACCGGACAAATTCAAATGTAAACTTGATCATGATTATAAGAGAGAGGGGGAAAAAACTATAAAAGATTTAAATAAAAAATGTATAAATCATAAATTCATAAAATTTTAGCACCTTGTTCGACCTATTATGAGTTGTCTTAAGAGTTTGTTTTATGTGACAAATGTGTTTGTTAATGTTGTAATTATCTTGCAATTTACTCTCATATTTAACTTGATTAACTAAGTGATGATGATGGTGGGGTGTTAGGTGTCGGGAAACCGTGTGTACAATGTGGTCAAGAGCAAACTTGACTTCCTCTGCTGTTTGCTTCAGAGTTGCAGTAGATTCGTCTTAAATGTTGTGTGGAGGGTACCACAGTTTCATCAAGCAAGAACATGAAGATCATTCAGTTTCAGCTCTGTGAGTTTATTACTGTATACATTCATATATTTGCATGTTCCTTGACATAATTGTTTTGTTAAAGATTCACAGTAGTTTTAAGTGGCTAATCTTAATTATTATGCTTTTTTCCCCCTTTTTTATAGATGTATTAATCTGTTGTCAGTATGCAGTGGCAGATCTACTAACTGATCTGGGATCAAATGTGAGCATAAACTGTGATCTTGATGAAAATGAGGTTTATTGGATTTTACTGAAAACAGCAGATCCTCCAACAGTCATTCTACGATCATTCCCAACACAAACGAAATCACCTTTTTACCATAATAAAACATTCAGAAAGAAATATTCAGTGCAGTTTAAACATCGTCTGGTTATTAATAATGTAACTGCTGATGAATTAGGAGTTTATTACTGTATGAACACACGCACACCTCCAAAACTCAGCAACAGCACCAGAATATACTTCAATGGTGAGTTCATTTGCTAATCCATTTTGATGACCACTTTAATCTTATTTATTTATAAATTTGTAATTCACTACTTCAGTTTTTAGAACACCTATAAAAATCATTGGTCGCTTCACACAGAGTTAAGAATATTATATATATTTGCATCAATTCTACAAAATTGCAGTCATTGTTCTGCAAAGGATTGACAGTAGCAAACTGTGGACAATTGTTTTTACAGAGACGGTTCAAATAACCGAGTGTCTGAATCAGACACAATGGCAGATTATCATCATAATATCTGGTCTGATGAATGGGCTTCTGATCATTGCAATGATTGGTGAGTTATCAAAATGATGCTTTTCTCCATACAGGCTGAAGTTAAATTCTTTATTTAGGCTTTTTCACTTTTATTTTGCCATTTTAGTTTACTTAAATTGTCTTAACAATTTAAGAAAGAGTAATTCAACCTTTAGTAAATATTGAACCTGAATTGGCTATTCTATTTTTAGGACTAGTAAAGGTTTTTGTTGTTGGGAAAAGAAGGTCTCCAGAGCGAACACAACAACTTAACACTGATCTACAACAGACTCAAGTTATAGAACAACATCAGGACCAATTACAGGTAAAAAATTGTGTTGATAATAATTCCTGCTGACCTTTTACTCCAACAGTATCAGTTTGGTTAATAAAACATTACTTTTAGTACATGCAGAGCTGCTGTGTAGTTTATATGGTTTTCTCCATTGTTCTTTCAGTACGCTGAGGTGGATTTTTCCAAGCTGCGTAGAAATATTCGTTCCAGCCAAATCAACAGCACCTATGCTGCTCTACAGCTGCCAAAGTCATGAACACATGAGTATAATGGACTACTTATTTGGTTCACTGTTTCTTGAAGTTAATAAACTCTGGAATAAACCTCTAACCACAAACTGTTCGGCAGCTCTGATAATACAGTAGTTTTACATCACATTAACCCCCTAATATTCTTTAGATCAGGGGGTTTTAAACTGCAAAGGCATGCGTGGGGAAAGTTCAGAGAAAAAGTCAAATAAAAAAAAAAAATACAAAACTTAAAATGGACTAAATTTAAAATACCTTTACAGTCGCTGTACAAATAATCTGTATAAAAAAGTAAACAGAATCAGCTAAATGACAAAATGTTTATCTGCTTGGGTTTTGAAAGTGCATTTTGCGTTGAGAAAAAAAAAAAGTGCTAGCAAATGAATGGCTGATGTAAAAACATTGTGTTTGTATTGTAAATGTACTCTTTCTTTAAAACTGATGGTGAAGAAAATAATATTGACATGACTGCTTTTAATACCTTCCATTCAAAACAATAGTTTTTAATACACGAATACCGTAGTATACGAAAGGTATAAAATGACAACATTTCAAACTGTCTTTTATGAAAACACCCTCATGCTGAAAACAATTCAACCTTTCAATTCAAATCTCATGTGTCAAACTTACTATAGTGAAGGTTTGATGTAGTTTGTTGCTCGTATTTGTGTTCGACCTGCTTGTCTTGTAAAAGTTGCTGCTTTAAATGAAATAAATGAATACAGTTCGTTTGTAGATGTTTTTTTGTGCATGTTTGTGTTTGTCAGAGGTTTATGAATAATTAAGAGCATCTTGTTCAGTAAAAAAAACTATTTCAACTTCATATCACTATTGATGAATTGCGACTTTATGATTGTATGAACACAGACACGCATTAAGCATACAATCAGATTCATAAGTAAATGAATAATAAATACTAAAATCAGGGAAAAAAAGCAAAAAAGTTTATTTAAATGGCATGGCATCGGTCACCTCAAATTTGTTTCTATTGTAATGTTACTGATGATGATATATATACATATTTATGGTTTTGGTTTAGTACTTCAGTTGGAAACGAAGCCAGCTGTTTAATGTATCATA